TCTCCCTATCCCTAAAGATATTTATGTTAAAGAGTCACGTCACGATTATGAGATGTTAGAAGATGAAAGAGACTAACCGACAAGAATACAGGTGAAGACAGCGAGCGCGTCGTGCGCGGCGGCGTCGTGCAGGTCCCTGTGTAGCAGCAGGTCGGGGTAGAGCGGCGGCGGCGCCGCGCCGGGGTAGTGCTGCGCGCCGCACAGCGCCACCAGCGCGCCCAGCCACTCCGCCGCCAGCGCCGCGCACCACGCCGTCATCTCCGCGCACACCACGCCCAGCTCGTTCACACTGCGCGCCACACACTACATATATTTACTGACACACAGAAAGGGGGGAGGGGGGAGGAGGCAGGGAGAGAGAGAAGAAGGGGAGAGAGAAAGGGGGAGATCCCTATCTCCTAGATAAATAGCATTTTATATTGTGAAATTATATAAAAGATGACATATGTGTCATTTTTATAATTTTAAAGTTTGAAAATTAATAAGCGTACACACGTTTACATGCTTACTTACCGATCATTGTCCACTTCCCTGCAAACAGCGAGCATGGCAGAGCATACAAAGCTGTACCTATTCGCGGGAGACTCGGCTACTTGACGCGCCCAAGCGATCTCTATTTTACCTGCGAAATTAAATCTGTATTAAGTACACTTCCTTTGCAAGCAATGTAGGGAAAACAAACAGTCGCATCACCTGATGAGTGAAATGGACACCCGAAACAGATAAAAATATATAAAAAAACCATCACGCCTTTTCCTCCCCGAAGGGATAGGCAGAGGTGCGCATTACGGCACTCAGTGCCACTATACAATGTAACTTTTCACTATGTTATGAGTCCACTGTAATAGAGGGTTAGCCTATTGCTATATAATATACCGGGCACAATTCCAAACTCCGTGCTACTACTGAGAATTAATAATCGGGAATAGAACCCGAGACCCCTTGTCCGGCAGTCGCACTTGCGACCACTCGGCCAACGGGGCAGTCACAAATATAATAATATAAATAAATATTATGTAGATGTATGTATAGTATTTGTAACTTGAATTATTTGTATTGTGTATTTTATTATGGGCCAAGATGCCTGAGACAAATAAATAAATTAAAGAAAATAAATTGTCGTTCTTGGGAGGGGGAAAGTTCCGTTAATTTTCACGACAAAACAACGCAAACGTCGTCGTGTCATACTGATTTTCTTTTTATTATTATATTAATTTAATATACCATTTTATTAATAAAAATCTCTTAATAAAATATTTGAATAATTACCTTTCCTTGGGTTTGTAAAGAATTCGCTCAAAAACTGAGGATTGTACATGTAGTTGGATGGTGTCGGTTGCAGCGGAGAATAGAGAGCTTGTCTGAAAAAAAAAACATTTAATAAGCGTATCTTTAACAATATTAATAGATCTGACATTGATGATAGATTTTGAACCTTATTCCTTTAAAAAAACTAACTACTTGACGACCAATGTCCGCGGTTATACCCATTATAGTCATTTTATTATCCTTAATTAATAGGGGTGATGACAGGGTATGAAAATTAAAAATCTAATTAGTCCGTCAGTAACGGACTCAAGAAAAATTAGACACGTATGATTTTATTTTCTCGTATAAGAAAACAACACTAAGTGAAAACGTATGAAAGTTTAATTTTTTTTTAAGGGCGTCCGAAAATCATCGAGTGACTGCTCCCGCCTGGGTGAGGCGGGAGGGAGTGTCAGACTCTTACTGACTGAAAACCACCCCGTTCCTTCTCCTGCACGTCGAGCCGGAGCCCAGGTTACCCGTTAGGTTCTCCGCGACTCCGAAAAAGTTTAGGAGTGGGAGCAGGCTGCGTCATTTTTTAGTACAAAATGTACACAAAAGTGACGTTACGCGATATTTCAAATCAATATATCGTGGAACGTATTTGTTTCCGTAAGAAAAAAAATCGTGTCTAATTTTTTTAAATAATCCACTGGACGGACATTTAAATAAAATATAGTCATCTACCCTATTTGATAAGTCATCAACTCACTTGATCTTAGGGTATGCATTAGCGAAGGTATCGGCATGCGGCGCGTGACAGAGATGTGCCGCGGCCTTATACAAGTCGTGTAGCTGCGCCAGGACACAGCGCTCTGCAGACCCGCAGTCCCCGGGGTTCACCACGCACTTCACCAGCCGACATAGTTGCTCGAATACAGCTGATGTTTGTTCTACGCATACTGGGAAAAAATTGTGTTTTATTCATTTGAGTGATCCCCAATGTTTTATGATAATAAATGCCCTTAATCTTCTCTGTATGAGGCTGTTGACGTGATTTAAAATTGTATATCTTAAACTATTATATAAAGCGGAAGCGTTTGTTTTTTTTGTTTGTTTGTTTGAATGCTCTAATCTCCGTAACTACAAGTTTGATTTGATTAATTATTTTTGTGTTGGATAGCGCATTTATCGAGGATGGCTATAGGCTATAAATCATCACGCTACGACCAATAGAAGCTGAGCAGAGCGTGTGAAACCGCGCGGAAGTAGCTAGTGCTTTTATAAAGGTGAAGCTTTTGTTTAGTAATGGGAATCTTCTGATGATATTTTTATTAAGATCAGATAAGCCACTTTGGTAATCATATTATTGAAAGTTTAAAAAATACATTTAAGAATTAAATGCGAGTCTAAGCAAGTTCATAATAATCAAACGACCACAATACAAAATTATATACTTACAAATTGTTACCCTTTTCTAGAGGCAACCACAAAGAATAATTTGGCATTTCAGTATTTTTGTATGAAAATAAATATAACTTACATAGCAACGACGAGTGGTACTTTCTGAGGGCGCCGACGGTGTATAGAGCTAGCGCGGAGGTATAGGCGCGCGGCGCCGCTAGACCACTACTGGGCGCACCGCGAGATATTAGGGCGCTCTCCACCTCTGATAGCTCTTTCAGGATCTAAACATATTATTGTTTATTAAAATTTTTGACAAAATTAAGTCTCGATTGAAATTCTTCTTTTATACCGTCTATACAATTCCTGTTATCTAGGGAGTAAAACATAAAAAAGCATATATACGGTCGAATTGAGAACCTCATCCTTTTTTGAAGTCGGTTAAAAAGAAGAGAAAAAGGAAAAGACGATTGGTTCGATTCTCAGTAATCTTAAATTCAATTAACAAAACGTGTTAATATTTTGTAGTCAAAGACAAAATTTAATGGACAAGACAAGACTGAAAAACAACTGTACCAATTTAGATACGATATCCACACACATAAGCACATATTATAGCCACAGAAATAACAATGCATGAGTTTACGCAACAGTTTCGAACTCACCTGTATACAAGTCTCAATGAGTCCATGCACGTTGAGTGCAATCTCCATGAGATCGAGTGCGAAGGCAACGTGTTCAGGTTGCGGTAAGTACGTAGTGGCGCCGGCCGCGTACGCCGCGAGAGCCTCGCATACCGCACTACCTACTGCCCACGATACTGCGCCCTGCTCGTACATTGACATTGCCTGTGGGACGAAATGTTGAAAATTATTAAGAAATTAATTAATATTATGTCAGTAGAAATTTAAAAGTGACGTTGGTATTTAAAGAAGCAGAAAGGTCTTTGACTCTCTTGGTAAAGTCATATGATAAGACGGGATGAATGAAACCGGCAAAGTGAGTGCTAAATTAAAATGTTGTCGTTTGGTTGTCCACTATACACATTTATCTACATTTGCATTACAAAAATAAATATAAATTGGGTAGTTTCCAGGGTATCAAAATTAAAAATCTAATTAGTCCGTCAGTTAGATAATGAAAAAATATTAGACAAGTAATTTTTTTATTTTCTCGTATTAAGTTGCAATACTTAGATAAAATGGCGCTAAGTTTAGGAGTGGGAGGTCGTTACGTCATAACGTGCTACAAAATGTGACACGCTGTGACGTCAAAAGATATTTTAAATTAATATATCGTCGAAAGTATTTAGTTTTAAATTAATCTACCAGACGGACATTAAAATAAAATTTAGGAAACTACCCTATGTACCCTGTATGAAGAATAATATGAAACTGGAAAAACTTAGTGATAGGAAGACGCCCGATAGCGAGAATAATTAAAATAAGATATATTTGGGCCTACTTTAAGCAGTTTGGGATAAGGATAAGTAATACTGTTTTGTTAATAACAGTTCCACAAACGAAACGTAAGAACCGAGCTAAACGGAGACAGCATATACCTGAAATTTTTGCGTAACTGCTTCGAAGTTGAATTCATTACGCGAATGTTTCTTTATTTTTCCGCCTTCTGCTACGTCGATTGAAAACTTCTTGGAGAATAATTTACATATTTCTGAAACAAAAACGATTTATTAAATAAATGATTCACTATACCCACTTACTGATAAATCTACTTTTGAGTGGAGGACAGTAGTTCAGTAATTCACATCAACAGCCAGAGACAGTCCAATGAACTATGGACTCCTCTACAAAACAGTCTTTGGCATGATCTCCACGAATGGAATGCGGATTGGCGATCGCTAAAAGGTTCAAGTGCATCAGACAGTACTTTCAATAAAACATGTAATCCCTTTTTTATGAGGGGGGGAGGGAATAATTCAATGAATTCTACCGGCTCGGGTGAGGCGAGTGGGAGTGTCAAAGACTTTATGTTTCAAAAAACCGTTTCTACTCCTGCTTTGACCTAGAGCTCTGGCAACCCGTTAAGTTTTTCGCGGCTCAACTTGTAATCTATTAATACATTAACAGCATAATATTTCTTCCTCAAATTATAGGCGGAACCCCTATATTGTGTGAGTGAGCAAGGGTTTTAATAAATTGTGCAAAGATAGGACTCGATGCATTTACCACAAGCAGTTGCGGGGTGCATAGGCGACTAAACCTTAAATTTATTGAATAGATATCGTTTTTTTTTACGTTTATGTGCGTTGCATTCGCAAAACAGTATTCAGTATAAAGATCTACTGTAGCTATGGAAACCTATAACCTCTCGCGCGTCTCGTACACGGGTTTAATAGAAAACGAATGAGCTATACTGTTCAATCAAATAAAGAACGGGTTGCAACTTGAAAATATACATCACAGAAAAAGTTTCCAATCGGTGCAAGTCACTCTCGTACACCCGTGTGTACAAGAAACGCGCGAGATGATAATTGGCTTTGTATTAGCATATCCTGAATTGTAATTCTTTGTAATATAAATAAATACATCAACAATACCTTTAGTCATCTTCTTAACAGCATGTTTAGCTTCGTCCCTGGCTCTGCCGACCCCATAGAGCAGTATGTGTCGCTGGTTGGCGTCGTGCGGCGTGTGGTCGGGCTCTGCGGGCGGCAGCGGGAAGTGCAGCGTGTAGTGGTAGTGGCGCGACACGGCCGCCCCCCCCGCGCACCCGCTCGACCCCGCCGCGCTCGACGTGCGGATACCTGGGACATGTAATAATCGTTACAGGAGAATATAACGCAGTTTTAAACTAAAATTGTTATTAAACAAAAATTTATCTTTCATTATAGAGGTAGACACAATTAAAGAACAATAGGTTGCGGTCACCGGTGACCGCGCGGTGTTTGACAGTTATGAATTGAACTGATGCCATCTAATTATTTTAGGATGTTGAAATAATCACATAACATAACATCACGCCTTTTATTCCCGAAGGGGTAGGCAGAGGTGCACATTATACCACTGTACAATGTAACACCCACTTTTCACTATTTCTGTTATGAGTCCCATGTCATATGAGGGGTGAGCCTATTGCCGGGCACAATTCTGAGATTTTTTTTAAAAACCCAGTAATACTTTGCCCGACCCGGGAATTGAACCCGAAACCCCTTGCTCGGCAGTCGCACTTGCGACCACTCGGCCAACGAGGCAGTAAATACTCAATTCATAAAAAAATTCTTTAATAACTGTTTTACTTTAAAGATGCGATAAGTAAATAGACATACATACATATAAACTTTATCAGACTGCATTTAACTCGTCGAGTACCGGTTTTGTAGACACAATTATAGAACAATAGGTTGCGGTCACCGGTGACCGCTTGGTATTTGACAGTTTAAGAAGCTTTTTACACAATGACTATTAAATTAAGTTGCTTTAAATCTAACTAATGGACAAATTTACGTGTATCCCATACGAAAAATGTGTTAGTAACGTTTTTAGAATAAGTACTTAATCTACAAATTAAATGCATCGAGCCATAGATGGCGTTACGGGAGAAACCTTAGAAAAAATAATAGGTTCTAAAATGTATGAAAGAAAAAGACGACGTATTTTATATAAACTAACCTTTATATTTATAATATTCTGTAAGTTATAAGGTTTAGTACAGATACTTAAAATAAGCAAGCATGAAGAAGGAGATTATACATTTTTAATTAATGACGTTTAATTGCAACCTTTATGCAGTATAAAATAAAGACTATTTTAGAATATACATACCTGGTACAGACATGGGCCCCATGCTCATGGAAGGAATGCCGGGTATACTCATGCCGCCCGGCCCCATCATTGGAGAGTTCACGCTGTAACACGTACTGAATTTACGTATGCAAAGAAGTTACTTATCGTTGGAATAAACAAAAAAGAAACTAAATAAAAAGGTCTGCTGTCATAAATAAAAAGAAAATGTTTGATTTAGTTAGCATTCAAAATCGTCGCCTGCTTAATAAGTCTAGTAACCGCGAGTTTAGGGCATCGCTTCCCGGGTACGCCTAAGTATAACTTGGTATTTTACTTTCGAAAATTTCAGCAATAATAGAGTCCAGAATTGCCCCAGTGTTTAGCAATAGGCCAAACTTGTATTCTATTTCATTGCGTAGAGTTAGTGTTGCATATGAAACAAAATATGTAATGTTGTACCATTTAGTGGCATTCGGAATTCAACGTCATTTGAGTAGTTTGAGGGTATCAAAATTAAAAATCTAATTAGTCCGTTAGTTATATAATGAATAAATATTAGACACGTATTTTTTTATTTTCGCGTATTAAGTTGCAATACTTAGATAAAATGGCGCTAAGTTTAGGAGGTCGTTACGTCATAACGTGCTACAAAATGTGGCACGTTGTGACGTCACACGATATTTCAAATTAATATATTGTCGAAAGTATTTAATTTTGTGAGAAAAGAAAAAATATGTGTCTAAAGTTTTAAATTAATGTACCAGACGGACATTAAAATAAAATTTAGGACTATACCCTATTCAACACACTCAAAAAAAAAAAAAACATAAAACGTCGGTCAGTAAGTCCGTCACCTTCTCCTGGACTATCAAAATATTTGTATCACCTGTGTGAAGGTTCTCCGGGGTCCTTGGGACTGTCGGGCGCGTCCATCGAGTTCTGCTGGTCTTCCTTGATATGCTGGAGCAGCTTGTCCAGGTCATCATCTATCTTCGAGTCGTCCAGGTCCATTCGGACGTTTTCCTGTACAAAACATGATAGTTATTGAGAAAATTGCACATCAGTTTTAGAAGGCTAAATAGGCTGTCTATGCGAATGGTAGAATCACAAAAACTAATGAACGGATTTCGATATAGTTTCAGCAAACCCAATGAGGAACCGTTTTTCTTTTTGAAATGACAAAATATTTGCTTTTACAAGACGTAGCTATTTACGTAAACAATAAATAAGTTTATTTAAACATCTCACCTCCATTTTCGGCTTCAGATCAATACCAGCAAAGATATCATCATCCATATTGTGAGTACTGGTACTGTTGGAAGGGGGCGCCACTGTGTGATTACTGCCGCCAGTCGAGGTCGGTTCCGTCGGAGATATTAAATCACCTCGAGAGATTAGCGTGCACATGTATGCATCATGGGAAAACACATCACGACGTATGAGCTCCCCAAACAAATGTACTAAGTTGGCAAACTGCTGCCTATTGCCTGGTGGGGCGTTGGGGCTCTCGTCTAGTACTGGAGCATCATTATCTAAGAAGCGTAGTAGTAAGTTCTGGAATATAGGAGGGCCATTGTACATGCCAGTGCCAGAGCTCACTGATTCTTTATCATCAGATCCCGTCGCGTGGTGATCGTGGTGGTGATGGAGAGTATGATGCTGTCTCCGGTCCAATAATGCGGCGGCGGCCTGAGCGCGATGTTCTCCCCAACGAGCTCCACACACTGCCCATTCACATATCACACGCACCACTGAATACGGACACGCCCATTCTGGATCCTTCGTATCACTGTTATCCTTTGAGGGCGGAGGACAATTTGCAAACACTTCCTTATACAGTGTGTCTAAATTATTATTAGGATCTACTCTGTCGAAGCAGTGCCTGTCTAACGCTTCTAATACCGCCAATACTCTAGCTTGTGAGCTAGTCTGCCACTTATCTGTGCACCATTTACTTTCAGCCTTTTTGCTCCTAGCTGAGATTTCTTGTTCCGCCTCATAGACTAATTTTCTATGCTCCTCGGTAACGTCAGTGTCCATGTGAGGCATGGGTAACGCTGATGGTGGTATGGGTAACAGGTCTAGTGGCGACCCTTGTAGGGAGGAACCACAGCCCGACCATACCATGGCCGTTGGGCACTCTATGCAGATCACCTGTTAGTGAAAGAGGATGAAAAGGATTTAATAGTGCTATTTTAAAGAAAGTACAGTTGGCTGATTAAGTTGACTTTAGTTCAATAGTTTAATTACCGAGTGTTAACTAAAAATCGACCAACATAATTATGTGAACTCTCATACAGTTTGCGCGGATATTTAAATAACAACTTTATTTAAAAATAAACTAGTTGCACATAACTGAAAGAACAATCCTCTTTAAAAAAAAATACAAATCATACCTGTAGAATAGTAGCGAGTTGTATAATAACATCTCTGTGGTAACAACAGTTGAGTATCTCTCCGAAACCAGCTTGAACCGGATTCATGGCAGCGGTAACTACAGCAGCTAAAGCAGGCTTCGTCTCCCTAGCAGGAGAGGCCCTTTCCTCTTTAACTTGTACGTCCATCGGCTGAGTAGGGTTTGGCGTACCCAGGGAATGATTCGGGTTGGGTGTGCCTAAGGAATGGCTGGGATTAGGAGTGCCCAAAGAGTGATTTGGATTTGGCGTGCCCTGGTTTTCCACGGGAGTTGGTTCCCTTTTGATTTGCGATATATTTGGCTTGACATCTGCTGTCGTTTCCGTCGTTGGCGACATTGGCGCCCCATTTGTTTCTGTGAAAATATCTGTGTTTTATTTTTTGCTTTGCTTATACAGAAGGTTGTGATATTCTTCAGTTAAGTACTTCATGGTTAAGCATATAGAATGACAAACAATTTAGTAAATGACTAAGTACCGATTTTTGAATCATCAGTTAATTTTTAACTGTAGAATAAAATTGACAGTTTACAGTTTTTAGTGTGGAAGAATTGTTAAATGCCTCAGATAAAATTTATCTGGCGTTGGTAAAATTGGCCCTTAAAAGCATCCGAAACTTCATAAGTACAACATAATAGAAATAACGTTATACACAGTTAAAAGTAGTTATATTGAAAAACTAGTTCAATTTTAACTAGGTCTCAACACTACCTTAATTACTTCAGGTTCGACCATGTGTTTAACACTAATTACAATTCACATCAAACCATTCCAGTTAAATGAACAACACCAAATAACATATTAGATTCTCACCTGCATTCTTATCAACAGTTTTAGTGAACACAGCTGGTTGGTTAAGAGTTCTCAGTGTAGTATCAGAGAGTACTGAGCAAATGGCCGCTGCCTTCTTAGCGCAGGAGGTCGCGAGCCGCCGGGAGAGACTCTCACAGCACACGAACTCGCTCATTTGTTGTAACGCAAGAGGTAAGAATAATCTGTGAAGAAGGAATGTATATTAACATAGTAAAATATAAGAAATATTTTTGAAATTATTGAATCTATGATTAAATCTAAGTTGTTAGATAAAAATAACGGCTGACAGTAACATTGAAAAACTCTACTAGTTTCTCATAATATATTTTTACGAAAAAAAACTGTCGATATCTATCTATAAGCTCGGTTGATATAATGCACCGTCTACTACATGGGATGATAGTGATATGAAGAAGCCAATACATTTTTATGGTTGTGGTACCATAAAAATAAATCGGCTTCTTCTCAAAATTATAAGGATTTTAGTTATTTGTATTCTAAATCAACGTCGAATTAAAAATAGTCTTCATTTGTATGTATATTTATTAAAATTACCTCAACAGTCCATCATCAGGCGCTCTCTTGTCTAGCAGCTCAATGATCCAGGTGAGGAAGTCGTGCCTGTCCAGTAGCCCCTCATCCAACAAGTACTTGGCGAGGCGGCAGCAGTAGTTCCACAGTTTCAATGCCTGTCGCCAGTCCGTACTCTCACTTGGACCAGGCGTGCCTGAACCGAGAGCTGGACAGAGAACAAACAGTTAGTTATAAAATTTAGGTTTCCTGAATAAAACAGTACATAATATTATGCAAATATCATATCAACTAAGTAAGTCGTGATTCGAAAGTTTATGAGATAGCAAAAACAATTTAACAACTGAGGCATTAAATAGACAAGAATTACAGACCAGTACTATTTTATAGCAAACCCAATTAATATCAATAAAGTCCAATTTTGCTATTATGGTATACTTACTACTAGAATTTCCAGGTGAGTGCATGGAGTTGGAAGCTGTGGAGTTGGGCGTAGAGCTACCTGGTGGATTGCCAGACGAGTTGTGGCTGGGAGTACCTTGGCCTGGAACAAAACAGTCTATTTCAAGTTGTTATGTTTTATGTGTTATTGTCATAACTATTTCACAAGGTAACTTAAATTACTCAAATAGTTTCAAACCACATTATTAGCATTGTGCGACATTAAACTGGTCAAGTTATCTAGTCAAAACAATGAAATCAGGACATAGACAAATACAATTTTCCTAAATCTTACATACAATATAGGTAAACTTAGTGTTAAATAATATCTTACCAGATTGTGAAGGTGGTGTTTTATCCGACACATTGCCGGGGATTGCATTTTGGTAGTGTTCAGCTAGTTTCGGTATTTGATCCTTGAGGAACTTGATCAATGTTGTGGTCCACTCTGCAAGAAATTAGACAATGTCGCAGCCAAACCACATATTATTATAAAAACTTTAATGTCATGTTTAGCTTCTAATATTAACATCAGTAGTACAATCAAAGTAGATAATACAAAGTGCCATTAATGCAAAAAAACTAGATATACCTACATATTACTTACATAATGCTTGGATTTGAATATTAATTAAATATACATAAAACAAAGCTAAGAATCAATAATAGTTGCTCTATGTTATCTAATTATTTATAATTAAGCTTCAAATGAGTATTGGGTACTGATGGTGACCACCACAGTAAATTTTCCCCAACAGCTAAGCACCTTTATGAAAGTTTTCCCTTATAAAGATCATAAAAAGGTAGACGTAACTTACCAGTGGTAGGATCAGGTAACTGTCTCTTCTTGATCTTAGCTTCTGAAACAGCTACAGTGTATGCAGAACTAAGCTTGATGAACCAGGCGGCTCTGGGCATAGACACCTGGTACTCTGTCAGGGTTATAAAGATCTCTTCCTTCTTATTGAAGTTTGGTGCCTTTTTTGCCAATTGAGATAGCGGTTTGCTTCCTGAGAATATGAAAAATGCATTTTAATAGGACTGTATTAGTAGTTACAACAGTTGAAGTATACTTTTAGATGAAGTTTGGAATGCTTGTGTCTAGAAACATATAGAACTGAAGAACTAGAATATTCTTAGAAGAGACACAACCAAAAATATGAGATCATAAGTAAAAGAAAACATTTTTGTTGGATCACATTATAGTATGTCGTTAAAAGTGCACATTCTTATTTTACCTGCTAAATCCTTGAACCAGGCTTCAATTTGGGGCTTGGTGCGAGCAGTGGCAGGCCAGAAATTGTCCTTAGGGTTAACCTGCTGCCTTTTCCTTCCACAATCAGGTAGTGTGTTTAATTCTTCTTTTTTAGAAAGTATACTTGAAAAGAATTGCCCTATCTGCAAATAGAAACATTTATGGTACAAGATATACAATGAAAATAAACAAATATTCTAGTTAGATTCAATTAAAATTCATGAAAAAGTGGTACAATAGACTTTAAACAAAAAACTTTGTTTTTAGCATTGTCTTTGCTAATATTGGGATTAATACGGACTGTTAAATCACATTCAGTAGATTTGACTGTCAGTATTTTACATAACTACAGTGGATATCATCTTCATACCACATTTTTTAAGAGTAAAACTACATTCAAGAACCTTTGACTAGATAATGACATAGACGGAATTTGATGGCCACTCTACTAAGCTTGGGAATCAAATGTGTAACAAAATGCACAACAGTCACTATGCCAACCATTCAAATTATTTAATGATCAAAATACACACTCTGAATGGTGTAGAACTTCAAGTTGTAGGTACAATGTTTTTATACATATACAAGGCCAACTGACCTACTTGTTCAAACCAACATAAACCTACTATGAAGTACTGCGATCGGGATAAAGTGTAAATAATCAGTATTCTCACCTTCGATGCTGAATAATTAAAATTCCTAGCAGTACCAAACTCATCGCTAGACTGTGGTGTTGTGGAAAAGCCATGTTTTACATTCGTTGATGTTAGCTCATCCTCTTTTTGGCGGGGCTCCTGAGGGTATACATCGGGAGGCCCAAGCCGTGGCCTCTTCAGCGGCCTCTTTTCATACATAATCCCCATCCCTGATGCTTGTATTATGTCTATTTCGCAATACTACTAATAAATTTACAAGGGTGTTATTCACCACGACAGCAATCTCATATTTCCACTTCAAACATTATCATAACACTACACTGCTTATTTATTTAAAAGCTACACAAAATACGCATAATTGTAGTACGCAGTTCAACTAATTAAGTAAAAGTAACGCATTTAAAAACTCATTTAGAAAAGAAAACAAAGTATCCGTTTGGGCTAAACAAAAACCATTGAATGACAAAGTGAACTAGAAATTTTTATTCGGTGAATGAATGATTACGTCGTACTCTAGCGAATCGCTACAGATAATATTTTGTACCGATTTTTAAACTTTACGGTTTTTTTATTCACCTGGTTTCTATAATATTTTCTTCATATTAAATATTATGTACTTATTTTGAAGTGGAATTTCCAAAATTCAAATATTTTTACCTAAAAAAGTAGTGGTTACTATTTTACGTCGAAAGGTGTAAGGTCATATTGGCAACACTAAATTATAACCTCACTTTGTAAGTTTGTAAACAGCTGATCTATCTTATTTACGTTTTTTTCACATTGAATTATTTATTACAACAAGGAAAAATAATCGTGATTAAAGAATATTAGAAACTAGAACAAATTTTCATACGCTAAACTAAAATATAGTTCAGTGATATGCCTCCGAAAAAACAACCAGAAAAGGGTAAAGCCGGTGGAAATGCCAAATCGGGTGGAGGAAAATCTGGTGGTGATGCAAAAGGTTGGAAATACCTATTCTTATAACATTTCAGAGGATTTTTTTTATTTTTACTATAAGAAACATGACTAACCTTTTTGTTTTGAATTTAGAATCGGCTGGAAAAGAGAAAAAAGGCGGGACAGCTGTCAAAGTCCGTCATATATTATGTGAGAAGCAATCAAAATGTTTAGAAGCCTTGGAGAAATTGAAAGCTGGACAAAAATTCCCGGATGTTGCATCCGCGTACAGTGAGGATAAGGCGCGGCAAGGTGGGGATCTTGGCTGGATGACCCGTGGTTCGATGGTGGGCCCATTTCAGGATGCGGCATTCGCCTTACCAATATCTACAGTCAATAGCCCTGTGTACACCGACCCTCCAATAAAAACCAAGTTTGGTTATCATATCATAATGGTAGAAGGCAAAAAATGACAGACATGGTGTTTGAATTTGAGTATTTTTGGGCGATACTTCTGTTATTCATTATGGAAAGGATATGTTGTCTTCAGGAGCAGTTTGACAAAGATTTCTCCATATTACCAGACCCTCAAAGGTCTAATGACTCCCTAAATAGTAACATGGAAGAGTTTGCTAACAGAGAGTAAGTATTTACTTGATGATTTATGAATCAATGAGTTTAACATGATCCATGACAAAATGAAAATCAATTGTAAGTAGTTCAAAATGAAATTGAAAATGAAATTAATTATTTTTCATTGTTTCCAGTTTTGGTTTAAAACTAAGCTTTCTTCGTCTGTGTCGTTTAATGCATGTCACAATGCTCCTGACTCTTGTCTATTTCTGCAATGTCTGCCTCTGGTTCATAATGACCAAGAAATCATCGCCCAGGTCTCTGAGATACAGGTTTAAAGTTGCAATACCCTCCTCATAACAACTTAATGTACTATATTTAAATTTTAAATAATAAAAACAGTAAAGCAAAATATTTTTATTAATAAATATGCAACCTACTTAACTTATTGTCGCTGGTTTAAAAGTAGTGCAATAAATTTTATTTGTAAGTGAAATAAACACATTTATTGTCTTGATTTGTGTGTTTCTGTAACATGCTCTAGGTACTTTGATTTTGTACCCTTATTAAAGATCAAATGAATCAACGAAATGAACTCATTTCTGTATTATATTCCACTTGCCCTGTAGTTCAAACTGTATCCATATCTTATTGGATTTTTACATTTAGTTCAGCTGAATAACTAGGTTACTTACTAAACTAGTTATTAGGTAGTTTGAGTAAGATCAGAATAACATACTACCTATATAGTAGGGGAGCCCATGAAGGGATTTTGGTAGTTACTCGAGCGCATCAGATTAACATATGGGGAAAACCTAGTGTCATGTTGAATATACCCACCATATATCCGATGTGATTAGAAGGGGGGGACTAAAAATAAAAAAAAAGTCTGACTAAATAAAGTCAGTTTCGTCAGATTAAGGGAAGGTAGGTCAATACTATGCTGAAGGAAGTGTGGTTAAAAAATCTGCCCATTTCAACTTGATTTGCAAGAGTGGGGGATTTTGAAGGGTTCTCGTTTGTACTCTCCAGAACATTCAACCCCACCATGCAAACTGGCAGACTAAGGAGTTTTTTATTATTAAATACACATGGAGCATGTACACTATCAATATCTGACACGCTCGACCACCAGAACAAAAGTTACGCTTAACAATTTCAAAGATCTGTGGATTCCCCCTTCCCCCACCAGTGGAAGAAATTGTCACTAAACCAGTAGGTCCCAACGACACTCGAGTAAATCCAAATTTAGCATCGTGGGCTCCTCTACTAATAGCTTCGAAATGTGCTGTAACACTTAAATTTTGAATTCATAAAAATAAAGGTCATAAATTGTGTCCAGGCTGGCCTCTTGACTTATAACTGAAAATTCGGTTCGTGTAGCTCCCGCTTATTTTTCTTCTCGCGCTCGCATCGTTCAGTAGATAAAATATGCAAACTATTGTTGTAATCAAAACAAAAGTCGTTTTGAATATCCCCAATTGAATATACTTACACAAGTCTTATAATAGTAAGAAAGTAGATGTTACATCTATTGTAATCATAACGTCTTGTTTACTATTGCTATTGTTTTTCTATCTATGAGGAAGTAAAAAACAAAACATAAAAATTAAAACAGTCTTTATTGACAGATCTTAAATATTATTAAACATCGACTGCATCAATTACGTGACTAAAGTAATGTACAATACTGTAATAAATATTTATGTAATGAGGTATTTAAAGCTAGAACCGGATCGTTAACTTTGAATATCGAAATTTTAAATCGATTTTTTGTCGTGTTTGTAGCTTTTTAGGATATTTGGCTGTCTTTATGGTTACTACCTCATAGTTTTTAATGTAAGCACAGTCGTATAAATAGAAATTTCTCGTTATAAAATATAAATAGTTCGTTAGATTCGAATTTTGTGAAGTGCTTACTTCTTAACAATACTCTTTTAACTTTTAATTACTCAGTAACAGTGTGAGGCAGTGGTTATCGGATCAAACTCTTAGGGCAGGGTTGGTGTATCGCACGTATTTCAGGAGGGCGTCGTTCTCCTCGCACACGAAGGGCTTGCGGTGGTGGCACGCCACGTCATGCCAGTGGACGCCGTCGTTGTAGAAGTTGTTCAGGATGGCCACACAGTGTTCTGCAGCACCTCCCTGTAGCAGCTCCTGTTGGTACAATAATAAGGTTTAAGTTATTTAAGCGTCAAGCGTATTAGTCATCTATACGTCTAGTCTCAGACAGGCTGACCCTGACCAGTATATAGATACCGGTAACTAAGTAAACTCCCGAAGATCCGGCTAAATGCTTGAGAAGAAGGGAACGATGTAATTTTGTATAAGATGTAAATTATTTTTATTATCAAAGCCATTACATCAATCGGCCGGCGTGGAATAACCGCATAATGCGCAAGGCCTTGAACGCCAAACGACAACGGATGCTGAGGATGCGCGTGCGACCACAGAGGATTACGTCGGCATTGTTTGTTCCGCAGTGTAGGCGCAGGCGCAGGTTGCGGGTACGCGCGACACGCAGGGAAAGTGACGCGCAAACAACGCGACGACCCGCGCCGAATAACGATGAGCTTTTGTTGTACAAGTTGCGGTCGTTGTTTGTAGAAAGTGGTCGCGACATGCGGGTACGCCCTTCGGCGAATATTTCGCAGGCCCATAAATATTCACATGTCGCTTTCGTTTTCATTGCGTTATATCCGCTGTGCGGATGCATTAACAGGTTCGGCGGGTGCGTATGACAAACGTTACTCAACTGCTCGCGGAATCAGCTCCTTGTGTTACGTCACACTTATGACCGATTTCGTAATGTCATGCTTTCTTACGCACCTATTGTATCCACTGCGGAACCAGTCCTTAACCTGGTAGGTGACAATTTCTTTAACGAGGAACTATAAGTTGGCGGAACTTACCCTGTTGTCGGGCTGAGGTTTACCGATGCCGCCGCCCTCAGACCAGTCGTTCTGTTGACGGTTGGTGGTGGGAGCCAGCTTCTGCAGCTCAGCGGTCCAGAACCAGCCGTTGATCTCGTTGGGGAGTAAGTCAGGACGGTTGCATCCTTTGAAGTCGCAAAGACGACCCGAAGTCCAGATGTACTTTTGCTGTAGGAAAAAGGTTAGTTTTATTACCTACAATAGTAATTTTCGACTTTATTTGAATTTGTCTCTAGGCTCATTATGGACGTACTTGACACAAAACCTCTATTTGTATGAACACGTAAACTGAACAATTACCGGTTCGTCTGCCTAGCTACTTGATTCTATCTGTTGGATACAAAGAAAAAATAACAATGGCAAAACGATCATTAAAAAAGAAGACTATTAGATAAGCGAATAAGGCGAAACAATTTGATGATTCCCAACAATACCGTGGCGATACCACAGTGAATACGACAATTTGTCACAATTATCAAGGATCGTTGTGCACACGGCATTAGATTGGATTGTAAGAAACATAACGATTGTGTTACTTCATTTCCATAACAATGCAGTGTCAACCGAGCAAATGGATAGTTTGGCAACGGAACAATCTGATCATTTGACTTGAATATCTGTGCTGAATAAATGTTCATTGGTTAGTGATGGTTTGCAATGGTAACGGAAAGTTGTAGGTCTGGTTTTATCTAAGTACCCACCTACCTACTTACATACATAGTTAGGGAGTTGCCATTACTAGTTTCACTGTCTGGTCATAGTTCAAACCCAACAAGATCTCATTTTCCGCCTGTTAAAGTTTTACTAGTAGGTATCTAGATTTCTACATATGAAAAACAAGCACTAATTACTGCCTGGTGCCGATACTTATTCTTGGGAGGAACTTACAATACAACAAAACATTGCATTTCCCACGTCGGTAATGCGAACCACGTAGCTATAGTGAAACTCGTTTAGGAAAAATCAACGCGTCCATTGTTGCGTTCCTGAAACTTTAAATTTTTCTTTACCGCGAACAAAGTACAAGTGCGGTTATAGAAAAGTTATGTCAATGCAAATTACGCGGTCCATTAGTTGAATAATTTATTCATACAACAGTAGAGGTTTGTCAATGAAAGTCTAAACGCATTACGAAAAGTAACAAATAACAATATGAACTCTTTTTAAGATTCCATGTTGAACTTCACTTTCTACTAAAGTAGCTTTGAAAAAGTGATATGTTTTCACGTCACGGTCACGATAGTTTTCCTTGTGTGTTTGGACTCCAAACACGTGTGGACATTTGCTACAGGCTTTGGCAACAGCAAAACTGATGAAGTCATATGACCTCAGTCAGGGACAGTGCCAATGCGAGGACTCTTCTAGTATCTTCGGTTATATTTAAAATTCAATCAAACGCGGCGCGCTATCTGATATCCATTCAAAACTTGAACCGTTGCGTCACCATCGTTAATGAACTTCGAATAATGGAAATGAGAACTTGATTATGTTTTACTGTCATCTTACATCACATGGGACTCCACCTCGGCTATAAACATTGTGTAACGTCATAAATATTTTCTAACGAGTTTCAAAAAGCTTAATAACTTTAAATCCAAAAAATATAGACTACTTGATATATCTACCGGTTTTACTTGATGGAATAAACAGTTAGATATTTCTCTTACCTTGTCCTGCACGATGCGTGCCTTAACCCATTCGTTTTCGTCGCTGGTCTCCAGAGACACGAGGTCCATGCATCGCTGACGGCAGTAGTTCCTGGCGCTCAACCAGTCTTCCTCAACGCCGCGGAGGGCAGGGTCTCTCCATGAGAAGAAGTAACCTTTGTCTAAACAGACAACATGCATGTTAATTAGGCCAACTTACAAACTTACGTACTTGGTATCTACGTCCAACACTTTGACATAAGTTTTAATGAGCAACTCATTGGGAATAAATTAAACTCTACTCGTACTTGGGCGGAAATACGACTGACGATAATTTTTTGACCCTCAAACTCACTTTCGAAGCTCATAAGTGTAGGTACTTATAAACCTACCTATTTCATGTAACCGGTCCATAAAGCCCGTTCTACGTTATTTCCAACGACTTTTGGATATTCGTAACCCTAACCCCAGATCTTAAAATCGTGAATTCTCGGTAGCATTTGGAAATTGAGTCTGTTGTTATTGTTCCTATTAACGTACTAAATGTGTAGAAGACAACAGTCGTAACTCCACATAACCCTTGCACTTCAAACGGTTCAATGTTTCGATCTCTTCCGCAAATAACAATAGTTCGCGATATTACTCGAGAATCGCGTGGGAAATAATGGTAGATAGAAAATATTCGCTTTCGATATTCTGACGGAAGAAGTGACGATTGATGCGGTTTCTAACGCATGTTCGGTTATGGGTATTAAGAATGGATATTGTGGATAGATACATTGAATATTATCCCGGACGGATGAAATAGGATCTCTGAATTTTGTTTCAATTAATTTGAAACAGGGTTGATTATTGGATAGATGAATTTTTCCCAAGTAATAATAAGAAGTTCTAATTATAACGAACAAAAATCTTTATTACGGTTTGACCCAAAAAGC